AGAATGATCCTCTTTTAAGTTACAGATAGAATTTAAATACAGTATGTTACTAAGAATACTAAGAACCAGTTAAAGAAATTCAATGGAATTCTTATCCTGGCAGCCAGTTACAGTCCTCCTCCCCCCCTCCTTTCTCTTCTTCCCCCTTTTCTTCCCCTTCTTCTTTCCTTTCTTCTTTCCCTTTCCCTTTTCCCTCCTCCTCCTTCCCCTTATTTCCAGTGGTTTAAATTAAATTCACAGGTGAGCAAGGAGGGGTTGACTTGGTTGCCTTCAGTACACCAACCACTAAATAGTTGTGCTTCCTGGTCCACTGATGTGGCAGAACTGAAATTGAGGATATATATGCAATTCCTTCTCCTCCATTTTCAAGCTGTCTGCTAGATTAGTTCCAAATGTAATCAGAAGCAGAAACAGAAACAAACAGCCCTTTAAAAAATAAAACACATTAGAAATGCTCATTCTTTTTCAAAGAGAAAATGTCTTTGAACAAGGACAGCATCCTATTTTCTGAGCAATAAATTCCGAATGTGATTCTTTGTTTTTCTTTGTCATTTATTTGCAGCCTCTTTTGCATTTTAACTAAGCTTATATACTCCATTTTATTTGCAGAATAAACATCTACACCATGCATAGTAATAAAAAATAAGAACTTACAATAATGGTGACTCATGGGCTTAGAAGAAAATTTGTATGCTTTCAGGCAAAGCAAATAAAACCTACTTGAGCAGGCCATCCTATTATTGTCTTGCACCAATTCTTAATAGATTATTGTGACTAAAGAATACTAGCAGCACTTTCTGATATTAATACATAATGATTGGGAAGAATGGATTTTGAAATTAATAGAACTAGTCGCGATGGTGAAATTAACTGCTTTGCTTAGCAGCAGTGACAATGGAGGCCATTGTTAGATTTCTTACAAGGTAAAGAGAAGAATTTTGAATCTGGGATTTGAAGATTAGTTGGGATTTGACTAAAGAAATATTGTAGCTTTTTAAATATCAGGTTATTTTTATCTTTTAGATGAAATAAAGAGAAGGACATTTTATGAATACTGGCTTTTTAAAAATACGTTGACTACTAGCGTTTTAAAATATTTCATAGATTGGTATTTGTTTAATTTAGAGAAAGGTGGCGGTATTGTTAATATCTCTGTACTAAAAGAAAGTATTTGTTATGTTTGTTACATTTGTTTGATGTATAACTTTTTGTCACTTTAATTTGTTTTATCATTCTCTTTTCCCTTTGGGTTAATTTGTATTTTAATGTTTGATGTTGAAATCTAATAAAGATATTATATAAAAATAATTGTAGATAGACATTAGCTTATACTCTGAAATTTACAATGTTATATTTAACTAGTTCTTTTTTTTTCTTTTTTGAATCTGAATCCTAGCTCTAGACATCCTGTAAGACTTCTGCTTGGGAAGATGCACTTTTTGGTATAGAGACTTGACTGTTTTGTTGTGGCTGTAGAATTGCCCAGCTGCCTAGCAACTCCAAAGAAATATGCTGCCCTCCCTTCTTTAAAATGAAGAAATAAGTGTAATTCTTTTCATGGAGTGCCATTTACATATCCCATGCTATCTGGTATAAATTAGCATTGATTAAAAGCAATGAGGATTTAGCAGCATATTGCAATCTTTAAAGTTCCTGGGTATATGGGGAGTAAAAGAGATTACTTTTTATGACAGCTGACTAGTGTTGCTATGATTTTCTCTCCTTATTATGTAGCTCCTCTTTATTACCAGAACTCTTTTCAGAGAACCATGGGACTGAGCTTGTTTGATATATGCTTTGCTTTCATAAATTTAAATGGAAAGAAATGCATTAAAGCAAGAATATTAATATGCCACAATATAAATATTGGTATAAAAGGAAACTGCCTGATTGAAAATAAAAACTAAGCTGTGCAAAAAGAATGCAAATAAGATTGATAAATTTGGGAAAATAAACAGAGATTTATTTGACATAAAAATATCAGAATGGGTGCCAATCAGCCTCCTGATTTCAATCTATAATAAGACAGATTAATAACAAGCCAGGGGAAATGGTACATAATCCCTTATTCTTTGCTGGGGGGAAAGTGCACAAAACAATGTTCCATGCATAAGGAAAGAATATAAAAGAATTAGGACAAACTCGTCAATGAATGTAAGTTGGTTTTTTTTTTAACCAAAGAAAGAATTTCATATTTTATAATCATTTGGAATAACCTTGAAGAACAGGAGGAAAGCCATTAATAAGACAACAGTCAGATAAAAGGGTCCAAACTAGAACTGTTAACTGTGAGAAAACATCTCAGATAAGCTCCTCCGTAGTTCTCATGAAGATAAAGGCAGGGATGGGGGAAGATTCAGTATCATAGTCTTATAATAAAACTAGTATTGGCCTGCTTGACTCTGGTTTCCTAGTCTAATCTACCTTGAAGAGCTGACAAATATTAAGAAGAAAAAAATTGAGAATTGAGAGTGAGAAACTCTTTGATGTATAAAGTAATTATACTGTATTTTACTACATTTTCAAAATGACAGAAGGCTTTGTCCCAATTTTGGTTAAGAGTAGGATTTAGCTGTTAAAAATTGGTATTCTCGCAGGAGTGTGTATCCTAAGATCCACTGGTTGTCTAGACATATTTTAAAACTTGGTTCCTTGGGGTTCCAATCTAGTTGAGCCCCTATATTTATTTGTGAGAAACAGGAGGCTTTGTCCTTAAGATAACATAATGTTTAATGTAACTTAATGTTTGGCCCTTGTCCTTTTGTAATGTGTTATACAATGGAAAGTCATTTCAGTTGATTGCAGCAGTCAAATTCAGCACAAGAGCTGCATTGATTATCAGTGTATTTGTGGTATTCCCCCCGCCCAAATCCAATTCGCCATTTATTCTCCATTGAGTATCACAAAAGTCAGTGATGGCAAACTTATGGCATGCCACGATATTTTGGGTGACATGTCAGGATTCTCCAAAATCTGATAACAACTATTCTTAAAAGCATGCCTCATTCTTGCACAATTTTGGGAGGCTGTGGAGGCCACACAAGAATGAGATGTACTCTCACATCCTTCAGACCCTATGGAAGTCAAATGGCCTCCAAAATTGCACCAGGATAG